ACCGCTCTCGGCGGCGCGGTGGGGTTCAGGGAATCCCCCGTCTGGGCCGGCATCCCCTGCTCATCCCTCTGCTATTTCTTGGGATCCATCAAACGTCGAGTGGTTGAGGCAGGTATCGCCCACGACAGCCATGGCGCTGGCTGTGCTCCGAGTAACGTAACGGGCGGCATGGAGCAGTGATGGAGGCCTTGCAGTAGCCCATAAAATGAGAAAATACCATTTTGTTAAGCTATATGAGGAGTTTTGTCACTTGGGAATCCTTCCTAAGCAAGTAAAACACAACTATTAGAAACCCTAAGGGAGGGAGAGACTTTCAAGTTTGATACTATTTTTGCAGCCAGTTTTTAAGTATGACTCAGCCAACGAAGGTGTAGCAAATGTGTTGTCTGATGAGATGATTAAGACAATTGTTTTTTTAAACACCCGTATCAGCTAGTGCCAGTGTTGAGTGGAGGCAAGGGCTCAACTGCACCTGCAAGACTTCTGAAGTGCTCTACATTTGTATCTACGGCAACAAAACGTAACCACATCTTTAAACAAATGCTAGTAGGAATTTTAGACTTCAGCTACTGAACTACTGCAGGTTGGGTGCAGTTTTAGGAGCTAACGTGAATTGCACTGGTGCTTACGTCAAGAAGAGATTCCCGAGGCAGCAATGCTTTCACGTTTCTTCTGAACAATAAAAGCACGATCTGTGAATCTGTTGCCTGTGGCAGCAGAGAGAACACAGAACAGACCACACAGCACTAACTTGCTGGAACTACCGCTATAAACTGTTTGACAAACTCCCAGTTTTTCTTTTGAAACAAGGTTATCACAGAAGATTGTTTGAAAATGCTTTAGAAGGCCACTCAGGAGAACAAGTCTCAGGTCTGCTACTTCTCTATTCCAGCTATATTTGCCACGTAGTAGAGGTAAGTTACATAAATTCCCACTGGGATCAAGTCACCTTCATTCATCTTCGTACAAATTTGGCTTCTAAGATCCAGCTAACTACAAATGTCTAACAACTCTTACTCCATACTTAGGCTTAAAGACCTGAATAATGCTGTGGTGGGTTCGGTAGCTCACCTCTGGGATTTGCCCCAGCCAGTGCTTCACATAACTGCCCCAGAACATTATTCTGACAGAATTAGATGAAGTGTTCTGTCAGACGTTAATAGGAACAATGTGCGTTGCCCTCAGCGCCTGTGACTCAAAGGGAAAGCCCACGTAGGGCAGCTGATGAATTATATTTATATTCACAAATTAGTTTGTGATATAGAATACTGTAAAAACTCTACCCTTTCCTCTGCAGTCTTGCAGTAGCACAATCCATCTCATCATCCAAGATTTAGCTTCTCTCCAAAATCAAGGTCATAGGTAAGTGTTTCACATGACTTAGATGAAACAAAATTTTAGCCAAAGTGGTAAAATGCCTCCTTAAGGTTAAACTGAACATTAGCTATGATTATGTCAGGCTTTTATTCTGCCATTGATACTTGTTGACTACAGAGGAGCTGACGTTTTCCAGCTAACACTCAGCTGACAGCAAGCTCTTGCCCAGCCCTCCGCATTGGAGTCCCTCTTCAAGACACCAAGACTTCAACTGCCAACAGCCTTCATAGGTTTCAGAAAGTAGGAAAACTCCTTCCTTAGGAATCGGCTGTTGTTGTTTCAGTGCCCTGTTTTGTAAACATTTGTAGGTGTATGCACTGGAATTCCAAAAATCCTCTTTGGAGCATTAGTCACTGCCTTCGAGCCAGCTGTTTGCCCTTTCAACACTACGAAACCGGTCCCACAGAGTTCAGCCAATTATCGCCTTTAGCTTAACCTGAGTGTTTCTCTGGGGCCCTGTATTAATTTACTGAAATCCATATTCATGAAAGCTGCATTTTCTTTGCTATGGGTGGAATTCCTAGCAAAGCAAGCTACCATCACACTCTCACATTTGCTTCTTAAATCCCTACTGCTCTTCTGCTCGTTTCTTACCCTCACATCTGACCAGTCTGCTCATGACCCTCGCACAGTACCTTAGAGTACAATTAGAAGAGGTTTCGCTGGCTGGGTGGGAGGGGTGCCCCATGCTGGATGCATACAGGGCTCCGGCACAGCTCTAGGAATGCAAACAACTCACTGCTTAGTTTATGAAGCTGGACCATCTGATAAAAACTTGATGTACTTTAGGATGGAATTCACTCTCTTTCCACTCAGTGCTCTACTCCAGGAAATTAAAGTTTTAGTGGTGGCACATAACATCCCCACCAGACTGTTCCCAGACTGGTATGTGGCAACAGCGACGTCTCCTGTGACCTGTCCACAAGACTCGACCCAATCACAGTCTACAGTAGAGGCAGTCACCGAGTGCCTTACCCTCCTGTTCAAAGTGGCAGCTTGCATTCAGAGTAATGAGGTAAAGGTCCTAGCAAATTTGAGGTAAAGTTCAAATAACTGGGCTGGAAGAAATATACCTAGTTTACCCCCCAAACCACAAAAGCAAGCAGCCGCACTTGTCTTTCAAGCAGAGTTTACAAGCATATACACCCAAGAGGACTCTAAAAGTGGTGTTAAAGCACTACAAAACTGCATTATTTTATTCCAAGTTTTTCCCCACACCTCTGTAGGGTTATTTTGTGCATCCATTTGATTAAATAATCAATTGCAGCGCCTTAGCATAAAGCCAGGTGAAGTCAGTCACATTGCCTCCTCCCGCTGCCCACTGCTGAGCGCTCTCAGGAACAGAGGATGCAGCTGCCTTTGGTAAAGAAGGGCCAGCAAATTTCCTCAACTTTAACTGTGTCATAGCCCTGTGCTCTAATTGTTACTGCACTAAAATATGCTCTTTTATTATCAAGAATGACAGTGAGGATACCAATGGGAGTGTACACACTCTTGCACCTGAGCTGCTAATCCCGGCAGAGACAATTAGCTATTTGTGTAACGCCGAGGAGTGCTCAAGTCCAGAAGATTTTCTGAGAATTTATTTAAGTCCTTCACAGCCTGCCCTGGATTCAGGTACACCGCATATAGTTTAAGAGATAAACATAAAATTTAGTAACAGAACTAGAATTTTTGGCTCCTAACACTGAATTTTGAGTTACAGAAGTTTGTTACAGTGCTGCTGTAGTGACAGAGGAAAGCAGGACTCACCCACTGATAGGGGTCATCTTCCCTATTAAAAGATATCTGAACAGGAAACAACTGGGCAGCCACTGGGATTACAAACTGGGGCATCAAGAAGATAGCAACTATACTCTGTGCACTGTCTTGTCAAGGCCTTTACGAAATGCAGTTTTTATTTTTTAGTTAAGCCCGAGGTCTAGTTTAATAACTTCAACAAAACGCATTATGGAGTATTAAGGAATTTACAGGTTAAGTAAATTAATTCAACTAGTTACATGAATGTGATCTCAACTGACTAGTTTCCTCTCCCCCTCTCTTGTTCGCAGAAACGGTATGGCCTGTTCCCTCTCATTTCTCTGCATGATGCAGGCCGTATCCAGTGCCCCTCTTTGCAGCTGGACTCATTTGTGTTTAACATCAATCTACCCATTAACGAATAGATGCACTCATTCCCAGTATGCTTCCACTACAGTCCTTAAAAGAAGCAGCAGAGCAGCCAGCAACTCACGAGCTACAAAGCCCAGGGAATCACGGTGTAGCCATCAGTGTCCCTTGGAAGCAATGTTACTCACAAACTTGAATAAAGATGACTTAGGTTGACAAAAGACAGTCTTTAATTTTATAAATGTTCACCCAACTGACAAATCCAAACAGCTGTTCAAAGTTCTTTCAAAGTTCAACCGTTTTCAATGAAAGCACAAAAAACACTTCCACAGTTTCATCTTGAAACAGTTGCAAGTTTCACATAAACAAAAGCAGGCTTGGTTAATACAAATAACTATGAAATAAGTATTAAGTACTGATCATTAAGTAGCAATGAAATGATTAAAGATACAGTAAGTTTCCTTCTACGGTATGACCATCCTTCAAGGCACTAGAATACATCCACAGTTTTGACAAGGCGACTGATAACCAGCAGTCGCCACCAGCACTCCGGTGTGTTTTTGGTTCATGTTTTAAAAAGAATCTGCAGCAAATCAGTGAGGGAATGTCTCTTGCAAGGCATCTCCTTGTAACGTCTAACAACTAGAAATAAGTCTAACCGTGACATTAAAAAGATTATTTCCATAATACATGCACTTTAAATAACTAACGTTCTGCTTCTTACTCTTTTGGAATTTCTGCTAATACCATCTGTATTAGCAGCACTTAGGCTTCCTATGCAAGTTTCTGCAGTAATTAATTCCTTCCATCCAAGATTTAGAAAACCGTTGTCGAGACACAGATCATTAAACTTCTTCTGAATGGCTAAAAAATGACTTTCTCCGTGATGCACAAGTCACAACTCTACAGTTTTGCCATATCGTCAAAAGAAGCTTTTCACTGTTAGGTCTGTTAGTTTTCCCACCAGGAGAGGAACCTTTAGTAAGTTCGAGGGTTTCCGTTACAGAGCAGTGCTTTCTGTATCGTTGTCAATATCGAGCATGAGATGGTTGTGCAGTTCTTTGCTCGCTGGCTCTGCAAGAAGCTCAGAAGGAGGGTTTTGAAGTGGTTCTTGAATACTGGAATTAGAGTCTGCACAAAAAATGGAATAGCAAGTTTAGCAGTCTGGACAGTGACATCTCATTCACTAGTGTATTTCTGGTGCGTTTCCTTAGAAAGAAAAGGGGAAGGAAAGATCAACAAAGACTTTTCAAACAGAGGGCTGGCACACATGTGCACGTGCACACGTGGACACAAAAAGGCTAAGCCAAACTAAAAAGCTTATGTTTGAATTGCTTCTCCTATACACCTTTTTTTAATCGTGTACATAATAAAGAAAAACATTTCTCTCTGAAGAATGGAAGACAGCAAGTACGATTTAGTATCTGATTCCTCAAGGCCCCTTATGAGTGATACTTTACTCCAGACACTCACATCAACACAGAACGGCCACTCAGCAAAAAAATTTGGCACCTAAATCATCTGCCAGGTAACCACCACCTGCGACTCTCAGAAGCAAAAGGAACATGTATGGTGTCAAAAGGAGGCAGAAATTTAAACCAAATGCAGATCAAATCCCTTTCCTGTGTATAACAGGGAAGATCGTGTTCTTTGCCCTCTTCCAAGGTGGGGGGTGGCGGGGGGGAAGTGTAGGATTTTGTTCAAGCCAAGATATCCAAGAAAGCCCTGAAAAAGTTGCATTTCTGGTGACTGACTGCACTGGGAAGTAGAAGACCGGAAAAATCCGTAACAGTTCAAAAAACATAATTGAAAATATTAAGTCAGTATTTTGGAAAGCTAAATTATAATATGCCATGACATCACTTACTGCAACACAGCAGCAGATCAAAGTAGAAAATCATTTAGGTCACTTAAATCAATAAAGAATCCAAATAAATGCCTTGCTTTTAAGCATAAGTTCCATAGACAGGCATCCTATGAAGACTTGGACTCATATCTTGAGCTTGAAGTCTTAAATTTAGCCCACGAGTTACTTCATAAATGTTCAAGTCGAACGTTTCTGAGGGAAGTGACATGGAAGAGGCAAAAGCAGACACAGAGCGAAGGCCGAGTGCAGCCTCCCCTGCTTCTCTCTCGGCCCGTCGCTGGAGCGCCAGCCGGCGTCGCGCAATTTGCGGTAATTTCGTATTGAGCGATACTGTTAACGTAGTGGAACTCCATCATCTTGTGGCCTGGCACCAATGCCAGGCTTGTCTTGCGCAGGACAGTTAAACGTTCTCACCCCTGCTGCAGCAACTTTCCCGAAAACGTGGTTCCAGGAGTAGTGTTTTCTTGTGAGGTGTGAACTACCCATTTTCTCCCAAGTCTCGTATCAAAGTCTTGGGGAATACCACATTCTGCTGAGACAGTGGTAAATGAAATCATCGAGAAGGCACAGAACAAACCATCAGTACTGTCATGGCTTGTTAAACACCATCATCTGGGGGAATCTTTTAAATAGATTTCTCCCCCCAGCCCTCATTTGTCATTTTGAAAGTCAGTGTGCTGTTCAGTGGGCCATAGCCAGTGACCGGTGCCTTGTGGCACCTACCAGACCATCACTGTTCAACAGACCTTGGATAGCAATGAAGAAGTCATTACCTGGGGCTATTTTAAAACCAAACCTTTTCACTTAGCCTCACATTCATGTGTTTAAAATAAGTCCCCGATCCATGAAACCAAGTTTCATAACATCAGCAGCTCTCCTTTATCCCCACTATACTGTATAACTGCTGGTTCTACAACAGATAAAAATGTAAGTACTTTTAAAGTAAGTTGATTTAAACTTTAGATTTTTTTTTTTTTCCAGTCATTTTTACTATTGTTAACAGAAGCAAAACTACCCAGAAGAATAAGTCGCAATCGTGTGAGTTCCCAAATTCTTCTTGCATTTTTCCTTACTCAAAATGTTCCACACTGAGCTTGGCCACAGAAGAGATGAGCGCAGAACCAAGGAGCAGAGGTGCTGCACTTGCCCTAGTACCTAACAGCGCCTACTGTACTGCTCAACTTTTATTTAAGGTACGGTTCAAAAGGTGTACTTAACTTCAGATGCAGGCATGGAAGTTCTCCCTACCACAACTGCATATTGAAGGATGAATTGGAAAAGGAGGTAACAAAGCGTGAGGTGACACAGGAAAGGAGTATTTGGTACAGCTACTTCAAATACAAAGTGAAACTCTGTATAACACACATGGATTTCTAGACAGGATTTTCTGTACGCGGAGGAAGTGCAATGTGAAACTGGCCAGTCAAAACATGAGCAACTTTACACATTCTAGTCTCCAGTACTTTTAGTACGTTAATGTCAGAGCGAGCATCAAACAGCCATTCTTTTCGCATGCCACGCTAACGACAATGCAAGCAAGCAGTGTTATTTGTGACAGGTTAGTAGTGGGCATTAGCACACACATGATTATGAATTAGCAACGTTTTTGGCCAATCATATGCCTTTTCCTTACCATCGAACTTTCCAATACAGTTCCTACTGAATGCAGGTCAAACATCTAGATTATTTAATAAAATTTTTGATTAGAATATTCTTTTCTAGGGCTTATTACTCTAATACCATAAATAGAATTTGAGGCATTACTAAAGTCCAGTACATGGACAATGGAATTCAACAGTATCCTGAAAACAATTCAGAATTCCTGTTCTGATATTATGAAGTTTGCTGGCAACTTAATTTTGGCTTCCATTACTCCCATCTGTCTTCCCTTGCTCCACTACTTAAGGTTAAAATTAAAAACATTGTGAATTAGATAAGTCAGTCTATAATAAGTGCTTACATGTGCACGTGTAAATGTTAGAGCAGATACTCTTATGTAATATGCAGTGGTGTTAATTCAGAACAAATATTAATCCTTTAAAAAAAGGATTGATCTGGAAAAGGTGGATGATCCTCTACTGGGTGTACTGCTGTAGGTAACCCCGAGTGGCACTTCAACTGTTTCCCAGGTGGGTTTGTTTTTGGGGTTTTTTGGGGGTTTTTTTTTGCAAAACATACTGGATTTTCCAAGTTCCTTCATCAGTTTTGCTAGAGAATCCTTCATCACCAGCTTTTACTGGCTTTCCTGCACAGCAACTTTCATGCTATTGTTTATGGTACACAACTTACATGGCCAATTCGCTACGGTTTGCACTTGAAAGGAACATTACTAAGTCTCTCCAGTTTTAACACTGTTTCATTTCCACACTGTTGATGTCAGTATTTTTTTATATTTACCCAGGCTACAGTTGTGTACTCGTTACGCCTGTGACTTAGCTGAAGAGGAGTCAGCACCAGGTTGTAATTCACAGTCCATATGCAGCCTCAGTTGTGCCAATCTTTCCCCTACGGCAGATGCTTCGTTTGTGTAACCTGAACTCCCCCACTGATGAAGCAGCCCCCAACATACCAGCTGGGTATTATTGAAAAGATAATTATTTCTCCAGTTACATTGGGGGTAAAACAAATCCTGCTTGTCTGCTATCATTAAAGCAATTTCCT